CCCGCTTTCATTGAACGGTTTGATAATAACCACCTGGACCTAAATGTAGCTAAAACCAAAGAAATGGTTGTGGACTTCCGGAAAAAAGTAGTAGAAAAAAGTACTCGGGAAATGAGCACATCGTCAAACGAGGACAGCAGCGGGTTCACTTGATGCGGAAGCTCAGCTCTTTTAATGAATCGTCTAATATTTAAATAATTTGTATCATTCTCTTATCGAAAGTTTGCTGAGCTTTTCTTTTATCTGTTGGTTTTATGGATGATCTGTGAAAGACGAGAACGGTCTGAACCAGATTGTGAAAGTTTGCAGCAAAATCAGCGGTGTTCAGACGGAGGATTTGGCCTCTGTGTGTGGAGACATCGGGTGTTACAAAAGACTAAGGCCGTACTGAGCCAGACTACGGCAAAAGACCAACCGCTACGCCAAATCTTTTATTCCTTTTGCCGTAAGGATTTTAAGTGGAAAGTGAATTTGCCACTGTGTCCCTGATGCACTGAGGTTTGTATGTACGGTGTCTGTTTTTCTTTTTCTGTTATTATTTATAGATTGTGCACGACCAGAGAAGTGCGAACTGAATTGCCCTTTGGATTTAATAAAGTTGTTGACTGATTGATTGATTGATTGATCATTAATTCCCCCGACGATCGATTAAGAAAATGTAATCGAATGCCCGTCCCTTTACATGACAGTGGAAATGTGGCACAGAGCCTTTTCAGACTCAGACAAAACGATATTGTACAACTTCACAAAGCATAAGTGGGAGGCAGACTGACTGTGCTGTGCTCTCGCTCTGAAGGGGGAGCGTTTTAGCACGGGGAGCAAAGGGAGGCGGGACCCAGAGCGGCAAAAACAACACTCTCAAAACGGTAAAAGGAAACGCGGCGATCTAAACGTGTCGTGTTCGCAGCCAATGCCCCGCAGAAGTAAAACAAGTCCTCGCTGACCCGACCTGCGTTCGCTGGAGATTATTTCCCACCAAAGAAACGGTTCTGCTGATGCATCCACCCACACGGAGGCAGAGCGGCGCATCGTTTTACATAAAGAAAGAGCCGTTTCAGAGCTCCACTGCCCCGAAGACCTGAGCCTCCACCGGGAACAAAGAGAAGGAGGCATCAGCAGAAACATCTGAGAGGACTTCACCACAAACGCTCGGATTCAAAACGGCTTCTTCCGCCAGCGCACGATTCCAGAGCTGTGATGAGAAGTGTTTAAAGGGCTCGTTTTACGCCGTTTTCTCTGTTCAAATGTAGTTTCCTCAACGCAAACAGACCTGGAGATGTGTTTTGTTCCATTCACACGTTTAACTCGCAAACACGGCTGCACATTTAGCCTGA